GAAAATTGTCAGTGATACATCGACATAGCAGTGTCATGATTCTGCTGATATTGCCAACATTATGATTGAAAGGTTGTCTTGATGGCAATGCTGGAATCGCCTTCATTTAACAACCTTTAAATTAGAATATGGATGCTACAAGGAAGGGCAGGACAGGATTTCAAAGGTTAGAGCATAAATTTTAATGCGTCAAGACAAGCAGTAATAAACTATATAAAAATAAACAAACAAACAGGTTGGAATTAACTTAGTTTGCGTGGATGCCAGATTCTATGGGTAGTCCTCAGCTTACATCCATTTGTTCAGTGGCCATTCAAAGATAGGGTGACACTGAATAAAATGGATGTGCAATCAATTCTCAAAATTCTGGCTATTGAAGGACCCCTGCAATTGCTTATCAAAATCAGACAAGATGGTAAAACAGAAGGGACAAGAAACAGAAGTTATGGGGCTGAAATCATGAACTCTCAATGGAATCACAGTCTGAGATGAAACAAGAAAGGAGTAAGCAGACCTTTAAATTAGGGCTATTGTGATGGTTTTAAGTCAGAATTATTCCTAAGAATAAACAATTAGTTTTCCTGTTTTGGAGAATATAAAATCCAGTTGATGCTTGAAGATCTCTCCAGTCTTCAGATTCTTTACTAGGTGAAAACCAAACCACTTTGCAAAACGAAGTGGCGGGAGAGATGTTTGAAGGTAGATTCTCTCTACCTTCTGCCATCACCATTCTGGTCATACTCTTCTTTAGTAAGGTGTTCTGACACCCCCCCCCCTTGACGGCTCGTTAACAAACACAGGCAAGCAAACTTAAAAAGGACTTTCCTTTATCAATTTTCAGTTCAAACTGGCTTCGAGCCCAGAAATAACATAAACATCACTCTCCGATAAGAATTCAAAACAAAAGCTCTTACAAACGCAGCAGTTCTTCCACCGTCTCCACCGATCAGGTTTACATGAAATACCAAAGCACTTTTCCAAGTGTAACAGGCTTAATCACGATTAATAAGCAAGCAATATTGTACCAGACACAGAACACACAAAGGAACGACGTTGACTCCAGTGACTGGGGCGTGGCAGCATCTGTCCTTTTATCCCCAAACCTCCTCCCACAAGCCCCAGCTGC